GGCACCTCTTTTCAGACTGATATTCCTCTGAGACAGGAAAAATGGGGGTGGTGGACCAAGTCACACAGGTCACACAAGATCCTGGACTATAACCCTGACCATTAAGTCTGGATTTACAAAGAGAAGAGACAAAAAGATGTAATCATTCTGTTAATTCAGACTAAAAACCCACTTTCACCTGTAACACCAACCAACAGCAGCATAAGTTCTTTTTTGGTCTGAAGCATACATATGCTTCAATTTGAACAGAAAAACAGCTCTAGTCTAATTTCCCACTGATAAACCTTTATTGCCAACAGAAAATAAGTGAAAGAGACAAGAATAAAAGCAATGTATGATGGTTTAGTCATCTACATAGAATATACACCAAAATATAGCTGGGGTTGAATAAACAGGCATTGCCTTATAACAAGTAATGAATGGATCATTATGAAAACACTTAAAAATAAAGAATCCACAGAGGAGGAGAAAAAGCTTAGCATATACACTCACAGAAAAGTATTCAGCTTAAAAAATAACTGTATACAGGTTGGGGCAAAAGTAGGTTTACTGTTGTGAGTATGTAAAACAGTTTATTCTTGAATTATTTGTTAATTATTGTATTATTTTCCCTACAAACAACTGTAACCCTACTTTTGCCCCACTCTGTATATTAATTTTTTAAAGTACACAATTCATACTTAGCCTAGCAAAAATTGCAAAAACTATAAAGTTCAATATTGGAGGATCGTGTGGAAACATACTCAAGTGCTGGTGGCATGTTAAAATGGTAGTGTTTCTGGAGATAAATTTGGCAATGTATAAGTCACTAAAAATGATCATACTATTTGACGACCATATAGCATTTGGGGGAAGATATTCCAATGAAATAATAAAAATAATACCACTTAGAGGTAAGGAAGGTACTAATGCAAAATTTTACAAATAGAACATGGCAAATCCCTCATAGACCTGACTTGAGGAGATTACTGTGTTCAGGAGGACCGTGTAGATACTACATATAAAGGTCTTATGAAGTAATAAACCATACAAGATAATACCAAGTTGGGAGAGGCCATAGGGGTAATCAATAGCTGGTGATAGTGAATTTTGCTCTTTATATTCAAGCTGGTCTTGATTTTGGTGCCTATTTTTTGCTCGAAGGTATTAGAACTGTCAGACATTTGGAAGGGGGTGGATAATTAGACTAATTTCTCAACTTCAAATTCGTACTGAGATTTAGGCAATTTGTCCTTCACAGCTCTGAATCATCACCCTCATTCCAGCCACTCAGATGAAAACTGACAGTGATGTGAGGAAACTAATGACTCCTTCATGAGCTGGAACCTCAAGTAACTGGGAAGCAATTGGCAGCATGTGGGAATGTCCTCTCTGCCACCACTTGTAGCCAACCAACTTCTACCTCTCAGCCCTCAGTAGGAGTGATGGGCAGGAGGAAGGGGAAAGACCCATCACCTCAGAACATACTTCCTTGGTTTTCACTTATGCTTTTTCATGGGATGGATGAGAGAAATGGTTTTAAACACTCTAGAAGGCTATGAGAAGCCCCCACCCAGAAAAGAGAAATGGGAACCTATTTGGAGGCTTTTTAGAGGTTTGGGCTTTCTACCCTACCACTAAGCATGAGAGTGGATAATGGTCTGTTTCTTGCTATTTTAAGCTCCCAAATCTGGGGTTTACTGTTGGGCACATGGAGTCACTGGATAGCCAAGTGACAAGCGGGTGTCAACAACCCTAGAACATACACCGTTCTGGTTTCTTATCACCAAATAAGTTGATTCTTGGGCTCCTACAGTGCTTTGTCCTTTAGGTCCATATTTACATTCACCACCAGTGTTGAAAAACTTCAGATACAGGCCTGCAAATAACAGGCTTAGGAATGAACCTGGCTACTGGAGATATAGAAAACAAGATCAATAAAGCCAATAGCATGTGGTTTAGTGTCCACAGAACTTTTAAAAAAGAGGAAAAAGCTCAACGCTTTTAAAGGTGAATTTCTTTCATTTTATTTGACACCTAAAGGTAAAGCACTTTAATTACCTGAATCTTTACATTAACTTTAAATTTATATTTTATGAGCTATTGACATCTGCTCTGTTTAATAATCTGTAACATCAAGAAAACATTTTAAAGTGTCTTTCACAATTAAACGTATCCACAACCTTGTATAAATCAAAATTTTGCTACCATATCAAAATGTTACACTGGGGCTGTATAACACTACCCACATCCTCATTACATGCAACACTAATTACTACCAGCAGATTCAGAATTTTCTGCACATTACAGGCTTTTAGAGGAGCTATAAAAAATTTCAGGCACCATTAATTTAAATTTGTATTGAAATTTCCTTTTGACAGATGGCCAAAAATTACTTATTATTTAGAGTACCAGAGCTGCCTGTTTGCACATTAGAAGAGGAAAGGGAAAAATTAAAAGCAAGAAGGAAATTTATGTCACATTCATTACCTGTTAAATGTTAAGGAGCATTATCCTGCATGAATAAATTATTCCATACAAGCCTGACTCCAGCTGCAGGCAACTGGCACGCTCTGGCTGATACAAACCATCTCAAGTCACACAGCAGACAATCATAAAAAGCCCCTCTTAACCAGGAACCACTTACAGGATGAGAACGATGGATGGAACAAGCAACTAACTGCTCTCTGAGCATCACAGAACACAGTTCAGAAAATAGCAAACTATTTCACCTTGCAAAGCCATAGGCCAGCCCCGAACGGTACTCGATGACTTCAAATTTGGGAAGGATACCCTCCTCCCCCAATCTATTTGTGGCTACCATTCCATAACAAATCAAGAAAAATCATCCACCTCTATTTCCTTTATGTTTTCCCCCTTGCTTCTAGCCATTTAGAAACTCACTCCCAGACTCATACTGAATGATTATAGATGATTTCAAAATACACCCTACTCTAGTGTGAGAAAATATCAAATGTAATTGACACAAAAGTGTGCACTGGAGTGTAAATATTTTCACAGTCTTCTGCGAGTGGGGCAGGAGAGAAGGCTTTTGTTTAGTTCACTGGCCTGCCTAAAGGTATGTATCCTATATAATAAAAGGGCAATATGCAAATTGACCCTAACAGCAGAACGACTGGGAATAACTGGTCACTATGACACACACTGACCACCAGGGTGCAGATGCTCAATGCAGGAACTGCCCCCTGGTGGTCAGTGCGCTCCCACAGGGGGAGCTCTGCTCAGCCACAAGCCAGGCTGATGGCTGCCAGTACAGCGGTGGTGGTGGTAGCCTCTCCCGCCTCCTCAGCAGCACTAAGGATGTCTGACTGCAGATAGGCCTGCTCCCTGCTGGCAAGTGGACATCCCCCGAGGGCTCCCGGGCTGCCAGAGGGATGTCTGACTGCCAGCTTAGGCCCAATTCCCCGTGGGACTAAGCAAGCAGGTGGTCATTCCCCGAGGGGTCCCAGACTGCGAGAGGGCACAGGCCGGGCTGAGGGACTCCCCCGAGTGCACAAATTTTTGTGCACCGGGCCTCTAGTTTATCATAAAAAGGCAGGCACTGTTTATATTATGGCTTCAGAATAACTAGACAGGCATTCCAATGGCTGCTACCAGCTAATCCTGGTCAGTGCATATACTTACTACAGCCTAAGCACACATGGGTGGAACACTTACTATAGTCTAAGAATGCTTTTAAATCTAGGTATTGATATGTATATTATATGACAAAATACAACTGTAAATGCATTAATTAAATAATTCAATGTGTGTTCTAATTGTAAATGTTAACATTTCTATGGGTGGGCAGATGCCCTTTCAAATTACAAAGATTCTCAAAGGGTAAAAGACATTAATTTTTATTTTCCATTATTTAAGGCCTTTGGCAAAAACCCTACTTCCCTTTGATTGAATAAGGACAGAAATAAAGAGGCATTCCAAGTGATAGCACAGGTGGCTCTAGGGAAGATTTTAGTCTTCGAACAGAACTTCACTGCCTGTGCTCCCAAACATTCAACTGTGAAATACAAGCAAAGTAACTGACAGCATCTGTACTTTGGCCATCGCTTGAGAACTGTCCTGTCCTTCCTAATTTACACAGAACACAATGGCATACACAATACAATTATACATAATCAGTACCATATTTACATTGTGCCTGGCTCAAAAGTGATCAAGCAATTTTCCTCCTATTTTACTCATTTCCTGCCATGGTAGCCTGTTTTTCTTATGTGCTTACTATATAAAATCAGGGATCCTTAGCATATCCCATTCTGGTATTACACAAGCATATCCAAAGCATTAGGCCCTCAATACTTTTCCGTTCCTGAAAACTTGTTTTCAGAGATAGAGAAGGCAAATAAGACAGATGTAAAACTTAAGGAGAATAACTTGCTATACTGGAAACCAAGATGTTATTGAATTAAAAAAAAAAAAACACACACATACAAAAAACTAGAGGCCCAGTACACAAAATTTGTGCAAGGGGGTTGCCTCGCAGCCATGGCTTCATCCGGAATGTCTTTCGGCTGTCTGGTCTAATCAGCATATTAGGCTTTTATTATTATAGATTATCTCTGGTGAAGAAAAATTTTAAACAAATGTTTTGATAAGGAGTTTTGTAGGATGAAATTTTTTCCCAAAATATGAGACTAATGCGTATTTCCTTATAAACTAATTTATTTACTTCATTTCCTTATTATTTATCTTATATCCAAAATCTGAAGAAAAACAGTTTTTCCATTTGTTTGCTTTTCACATGTCAAGACATAAGAAAATGAGCAATGTAAGCCAGATCTCATAATTCAATCTTGGTATACAAATCTAATTCTGATAGAGAAATGGAACTAATATTTTCAAAAATTTTAACCACACAACTGAAAGTAATCCAAAAATGCAGCTAACCACTATTTGGTAAGGCCCACCAAATCATTCTCTAAATTTCGAATCCATTACTCACTATACTCAGATCACTCTGAGCCCCTTACAACTATTCCTTCGCCTGTGAATTTGAGTCCTACCTTGATGGAGTCTCTGTCTACAGGCAAAACAGCAACAACACACGTAGATCAAGTGGTGGGAAGAAGAAAAAAGGAAAAGAACTAGTTAGTTTACATAAAAGCATACATTTATCAAACCTGAACACTGCTAAATCATAAATGACAGAGATGTCAACTTTGCGGTAAAGTTAATTATTAATACTACTCAACCAGATTCACAAAAGCCAATCTACCTTTAACACAATTTCGGAAACTAAAGCTGGATATTCCTATTCATATTCTTATCAACTTCCCACTTATAAAAGTGTTTACAATCATGCCTTAACTCAGAACCATAACAGTAAGATAACCGGACGACAAATATTGCAGTGCTTCTAACATCAGAGATGGGAAATTTATTTCATGTGATAAATATCATTTACCCAGGATTATAATTCATGGTAATAACATTGCAACAGGAGTAGGTAAAAGGTTTTAATTATGAGCCACACCCTTCCAACCAATGAACCATCCTGGTACTAAAAGTAAATTCCCACAAAGGAAGGCTGGGAGAGACCTTTTCATTTGCTTTTCTGCCATTAACTAAACAAAAATTATTAGTAAGCACCATACAAACATACAGTCACATCAAAAGGTCTCTGCACCATCATCTACTTTAGTGTAGAGAGGAAACCAACCTAAAGGAGCAGAACTGGCCTTTAAATCAATTATGCTGCACAAACAATTGTGTTTTTATAGAAAGAAAGGAGTTAATTTCATGCTTGTAATCAGACTGGATAAGAAAGGTAGTTAAATCAACAGATTCCCTAATTTGGGCTGTATTTCCTCAATTACTCAGACTACTAAAATTGTTTTCATACCTGTGAGATTTTTACTGTACTATATAGGCTGATCTGATTCATAAATAATAATTGATTCTATCAAACAATAAAGTCAGCCTTTATCAGCAAGTCTTTCCCCAAAACAGATTTGGTGAAAATTAGCTATTAATGACACTCACTATTTCAAACACAGAGCACTGTGGAATTTCATTATTGATTTAGATTCAGGGAACCTAGGAGATAGTAGCAAGGGATCAAAGGTAATAACTAGGAAACAGAAGCCCTTACCTAGGAGGAGTGCCATTAACTCTTGCCAACCACTAGGGTATCTTTTGGCAAAAGACTGCTTCCAATAATTAACTTACCTTCCAGCAGAAATCCTTTGTTTAGTCAATGGTAAAATTAAATCCAGAGAGAAACAGAATAAATAATGGCATGAGCAGCATGTAGGTAATGTCAGGCTCACCTCTTTGGTGATCATTGTCATGGTGCTTCTTCTCATCTTTAATTGGAAGGTGGGACTGGCCTCCCAGGGCACTGGAGAGGGCCAGAAGGCCGGCACTGCTACCAATGGGTGGAATGGCAGGAGGCGGCAGCCCCGAAGGGTGTGGGGTCAGAGGCACAGGCAGACCATGTCCATGTGATAAATGCTGGGCCTGGAGTTGTTGCTGCTGTGAGAAATGAGACAAAGATATTGAACTTGTTCCCTAATTCTGCACCTGCCCCCACCCAAATAAAAGGAGAGAAGACATACGATAAGATCATGGAAAACTCAGCACCCATGAAGGAAAGATTTAACCTTTATATATATATTCAAAAGAGGAGGGAAGAAGATGTTTAATGGAGAAATGTTGTCTTTTGACTTAGATCTGAGGATTTTGCAATGCACTGTAAATAACTTAATTTTTAAATAGTGAAATTATCTAAGTAACTTTTAATAGCCGAAATTCAGCTTCCTTTAATAAAGCATCTGTATTTTGTTCTCCAAAACATAAGGCCGCACCATCATGCATTTCTAATCAAAACATATACGTGACTAACTGTTAAAGCAGTTATGTTGAACAAAAAAGCTGAAAACTGAGAAAATTAGTGTTAAACAGTTCTTCCAGAATCACTGCACAGCATGCAGTGCGAGTTAATTTGAAAGAGAAAACCTGAATTAACAACCCAGAGAAGGAAACTGGTTGCAGCCACCGTTTTAAGCCCCTTTAAGTGTCCTCAGCGGTACTTGAGCAAATTACTAAAGAAAATCTAATGTAGCAAGGCTTGGGTCCTCCTGTAGGCTTGCTCAATAATGCTGAAATAATTGGGCACTCTGTGCACGTTTAGTGATGCTCGAATGAAAAGCTAGAGCCTGCCCTTGTACGCTTCCCCGGCAGCCGCCTCTGTGTTGTGACAGGTTTATCTGAGTGGGACTGTGAGGCATGCACCAGTAACTGTGCTGACAAGAGTTTAAAGTCATTTTTACCAGCACACTGGCAACACACGGAGAAAGCCCTCGAGAGGCTGGAATGGGAGTGCTTGACCTCAGCAGAGGCCGCATCTAGATTGAGGCTGCATCAAGCTTGGCTGTGGGCAGGCCTTGCTGCCTCTTCTAGTGGAAAGGGGGAGGGGAGAGATGACAGGAGGATGTTGAGTTAATATGTCCCTCAACAGAAATCCCTTCAACTTGAGACCCTGCTTAACAATATTCTATGAGAACAAGTGCTGAGAAATTCTCTAACTTCTGTAGTGATTACATTTTAACTAATGCCTTTAAATAAATGACCTGTCAGGGCCATCCTATGATAGCCCAATAGTCTTTTCTATAATTTTCTAAGCAGAATTTCAAAAAATAGCTTATTAAAAATATGTAGGGTGGCAAATTCTGCCTCCCTTCACTGGTAAGACGGATCCTGAAATGCGTTTATTTTTAAAGAAAGTACTTCAAAGAAAAAAATAAGAATTTTTTTCTGCTCCCAAAATTACTTCTATTTCCTTCCTCTTCCCCTCTATTTGGCTTCCTGTATCCGACTATAAAAGTGAAAGCATAGCAGTAATTACTAGCTCTTTTCTCCAATTGACCTGCACCTATATTCTGGCTTCGTGCACTTAAAATACTGTAGTAAGGTACTAACACCTCTAAGGCAAGTTGACATACATAAGATGGAAAAATCAGTGCCATGATCCAGATACTCCACCCAGCCATGCCCACACCCAAGTCCTGCCAAAGCAGTAACTAGCTGTCTAGTTCAAAATAATGTATTTCTTCATTTGTGTGGCCAAAATCATGTTCGTAATTCTTTATGTACTGTTATTTAGTTGTGACCAGAAAGTATGAGCGCACAATCACATTTTCTAATTGTGTTGAAAATAATGCCTATGAAGAAAACAAGGCCTTCAGGTAAATATATGGCAAATTTATTTCAAGACCTTGTTCAAGTGAAATTGCCAGAAAATTGCTCCAATTCTCTTTCTCCTCTAAATCCCCTAATACTTTACTTTGTGTGTACAGGCTGAGCACATAGCTACTTTCTATCTCAGTCCAGAGTGCAATTGGCAAGCATTTATTAAGAGCCAGCATATATGTCTCTCTGATCATCTTTCCTAGACTCTAAAGCCCTGTGAGAACCTACGTCTGACACAAACCCTAGATGACTAAAGAGCACTAAGACACTCATATAATATCTGAGCTATTTAAAAAGATACGTATATTTCTTTAGACATCAAAAAACAAACAAACCTGCAGCCAGAAGCAACACCTTCAGAGATGCAGGTGTTTCACTTTTATTCTTTTCTTATAGCACAAAAAGGAGGCACCAACATTCCCATTTTTCCATCTGACCAGGAACTTTCCAAAGGCAGAAACTATACCCCTATTCTGTCAGCTGCACATGCCATTCATAGTGAAGACGTCCTGGGATCCTCACTTGTGCTCTATTCTACCTCCAAAGAGCTCTAACACTACCTTACCCTCTTCTGCCCTATGCCTTAGAGGAGGAGCCCCCTTTCCAGCCAAGGCTGACCCTCACCAGCACAAGGGAATCATCTTTCCCCCTCCTTGTCTCATTGCTCCATCAGTTCATCTCTCTCCCCCATCTTCATTGTTCTGCCACTGATTGTGCCCTTCTGCTTGCAAGCTTAATACCAGGGTCCCTAACATTTTGCTTAAGATGAACTGCCTATCTAATGCCAAAAGAACTTGAGGTAGCATTTTTTTCAGGAGGGAAAAAAACTATATTTTAATGACATTTTGTGTCCTCCATTGCCCCTAACAGTGCCTTACACATTAATTGGCACATAAATATTTTTAAATTTAACTAAAATAACCTTCTTTTGCCCTCTTCAGCTTCTGCCACCACCAGGGCAGCTCTGCAACTCTCTGACTGCGCCCCTTACATCCCCTTCTGGGCTTTTCCTTCTCCCGCTCACTAAAGGGGAAGAGTCCTAAATCTTTTGCTCCTCTTCCATGCTCCAGTATCTCTGGTCTAGTTTCTTGCCAAACAGTTCCACTTGGCAGTCCAGCATTTTCTGAAAATGAAAATGTTTAACACAAATTCCCTAAGTAACTTCCACTGGGTCAAGATATCTATCAGTCACCATCAATTCATTTTTCCTCTGTGCTCCTCTATTCATAAACACCGACTCCTGTCCATTCTCAAATAACCTTTTATTTCTACTGCCACCACACTACTCAGACCCTTATCACCCCATACTTTGATTTCCACAAGTCTCCATTAGCTCATTTCCATTCCAATCCTGCATTATCATGGGCAATTTCTTTTTCAAAATTCATGTCATCTTTCCTCTCTTAAAACAACCTCTCCATTACTTATCTGAATTAAGCTGCACTCACCGATCTCAGCTCAGCTTATGTTTCATCTGTTCTGCAAAGGCTTTTCCAAATACCCCAAGTGTCTTATAGGGCTCCTGGTACCATTCACTGATACAGTCTGCCTTTTAAAGGCACAGTTATCCATCTTTTTATGAACAAGAAGACCTGACTTGCCAGTAAGATTGCAAGACTCTGGAATGAAGAGACCAGTATCAGGCCTCTTTGCACCCCTGGCACCTAGAGCACCACTATTTAGTCATACGAATATGTATTTAAAGCATTTGATGAATTAAATTTCTACTAAATATGAAGAGAGTTCCTATATACCTTTTACCCAGCATCCACTAATGTTATCATCTTATATAAACATAGATTTTTATCAAAACTAAAAAATTAATGTAAGTACATTACTATTAATCAGACTATAAACTTTCTTCAGAGTTCCCTAGTTTTTCCACTAATATCATGATCCAGGATGTTATACTGCATTTAGAGAGGTTCTGATTTTTCCCTTATCATTCCAAAATAATAAAGCCATTTTCAAGATTTTATGAATGGCAATATCCACATTATAGTCAAATTGCTTAGCAGAATACTCCTTGAGCTTAGGTGAGAAATAAATTGAGAGTTGGCTACCATAAACCTATTTTACAAATCATCCATTATACATTAAAAATATCAAATAAACAAAAGCACACTCAGTAGAGAGTCCTATAGAAAAGAGCAATTTTTATCATATAAAATTATAAGATTAAATAAGTCACCAAAGGCATATGACAAAAATTAAGAGAAATATACTGAAATACTATAGTAGGTTTTAAAATGTTTACATCAGTGAAACAGACCACTTTCTGTATTCAGTGGTCATTTTTAAGCTTCTTTGTAAGTTTTTCCCTTAGAAACTACCTTAGCAGTAGAGTGGCAGATGTACTTATAATTGATAATGACCCCCAATTAGTCAGTACAACCAATGTATTAGAGGCAATCTATATATATAAAAGGCTAATATGCAAAGTGTCCCCTCGGGAATTTGACCAGGGAGTTCGATCACTTGCTATGACGTGCGCTGACAAACCAGGGGGCAGTGCAGAACAATGGAAGGCTCTGGCCGGCAGCTGGACAGCCCTGATTGCTGCATGAGACCCTACTGGTGCACAAATTTCATGCACCGGGCCTCTAGTCTTTAAATAAAAACACTAATGTCACCAACAGCTAACCTGAATTTCACCCTTTCCTCTATCCTATCAGTTAGGGGCAATTGGGCTGGCAGGGGAGCAGTTAGGCGTTGATCAGGCTGGCAGGCAGAAGCGGTTAGGGGCAATCAGGCAGGCAGGCGAGCGTTGGGAGCCAGCAGTCCTGGATTGTGAGAATAAAAGAGTAATATGCAAAATGACCATCACTCCAACACACAAGATGGCCGCCCCCATGTGGACACAAGATGGCCGGCAGGGGAGGGCAGTTGGGGGTGACCAGGCTGGCAAGGGAGGGCAGTTGGGGGCGATCAGGCCGGCAGGGCAGCAGTTAGGCATCAATCAGGCTGACAGGGGAGTGGTTAGGGGGTGATCAGGTTGGCAGGCAGAAGCAGTTAGGGGCAATCAGGCAGGCAGGCAGGCAGGCAGGCGAGTGGTTGGGAGCCAGCAATCCTGGATTGTGAGAAGGATGTCCGATTGCCCAGTGGGATCGGGCCTAAACGGGCAGTCGGACATCCCTCAAGGGGTCCCAGATTGGAGAGGGTGCAGGCTGGGCTGAGGGACACACCCCCCCCCCCCCCCCCGCGCGCCCTGTGCATGAATTTAGTGCACCGGGCCTCTAGTCTATAATAATCTATAATAATAAAAGCGTAATATGCTTATTAGA